GGAGCCCAGGCTTGTGGTTCCGAACTGCGATGCTTCGGTGCTCTGGATGTTGGAACTGAGTTGCCCAGAGAGCCCAGTACCCCTTAATTAGGGAATATACCTTAATTCTAAAATCATAATATTAAGGCCCCTATGATGTCAGGTATATTCCTTAATTAAGGGGTATTGGGCTCTTTGGGGGTATCGTGACTTGGTGGATTTAGGAAGTTGCGGTTTCCACTCTTTGCTTCTGGCGTGGCGGGCATCCCAGCATGTGCGTCCGGGGCTTCGGGGTCTGAGGCGTCACACGTAGGGACTTAAGGGTTTGTATCCTAAATAATAACAAGGTGTGGGGTTTAGGGTTTAGGGTTTAGGGGGGGTGGGGCCCTCAGTGTTGGGGCTTTGGGAGGTTCAATGCCCACCAGCCTCTCTGCATGCCGGCCGCTGCACATGCACAATAGGCCCGACAAGCCTCCACCAGTTCAACTCTCAGCACACTTCATTACTGTTGGTATAGGGCCCCCGAAAGCCTAGCGATATCCAGCATGGCTTTGGGTATTGTTTCATTCCGACACTGCGGTTTTCCACAATCACAAGAGCTCATGACATAAACGACCTGTTGGCGGAGGTCCTATTTCGAACACGCCCCACTTCAAAAGCAAAGACTGGCTGCCATGCGCATCAATCCTGCCCATCCAGCGACTTCCAACCCTCTCAGAATCTACAAAGATCCAGAACACTCCGCTCAACCATCGCCTGGTCAAAACCCCCACAAGCTTCAATCATCAACCCTGCATTGCCCAAAAAAATGGGGGTTGGGGTGGGGACTGAACAGATGTGATAGGGTGCTTGGTGGGCGTTGTAGTACAGAAGTACAAGAAGGACAACTAACGAATAGTACTACTGAGACTACTGATGGCTGATTGTGGCTGCACTAGATCCCAAACCCTGAACCCCACACCTTGCACCCTAAATCCGACACCTTCAACTTCGTCGAAACCGTGGCATCCTCGACCCCGAACCCTGAACTGTACAGGGTTTCGGGTTTAGGGTCTAGGCTTTTGAGCATCCTAGCTCTCATCTTTCCCAAACCCCACACTCTCATCCAAAAAACACCCTAAACCCTAAACCCTCAACTCTAAACCCTAAGCCCTCACCATGACCTGCTCCTCAAAAGTCCGAAGAAGCCCAGGCCTCACCAGGTGTCGAAAAAGCTCCTCAAGGGCGGCGGTTGGGCTCATCGCTTGCGGTTTGGTTTGGGGCGTAACTTGGGGGAATAAGGGTGTCGCGGTGTCGGTTTCTAGGTTTGGGGTTTAGGGCTTAGGGTTGAGGGTTTAGGGTTGAGGGTTGCGGGTTTAGGGTTTAGGAGGGTTCAGGTTTCTAGGAGGGTTCAGGTTTCTACGGCCTTGAAAAAGGAGCTTTGGGCCAAGGAATATCCCCGGAACTATAGTACACCCAAGGCTTTGTTGCGAAAACAACATGAAATGCCCTGCGGAATGCACAGCGCCGTCACAGTGCTGATGGGAGTAATATACTGATACTTAATACAGCTTCCACCCAACCCCAAACGCTACCCCTAAACCCTAAACCCTAAACCCCTGAACCCAGACCCTAGACACTCCAACACAGGCGCACACATCCCGAGACGTCCAAAACCCTAACCAAACCTAAAAATCGTAAAGCCCATAACAAACCCAACAACTTGTACCTTGAAAAACCGAAGCTACCAGAACCGAGAAGTGTCTCACACAAACACTAAAGACCCTTCTTCAAAAACCTAAGAAAGACCCTTTCCCTTAAAGCCTTGAGCAACCCTGAGACGCAAACTTCGAAGACCAAATCTTTCACCCTATCTAAAACTCTAAAACTCGAAGCCGCTAAGCCCTTAAACCCCAACCCTCAACCCTAAACCCTAAACCCTAAACCCTACACCCTAAACCCTAAACCCTAAACCCAAACCTCTAACCCCTAAACCCTAAACCCTGAACCTTAAACCCTAACTTGCTTGCCCCTAAGCCCTAAACCTCAAGCCCTCAAAGACCAAGGGACTGGAATGGGCCAGGAGAGCCCTGTCCAGCGAATGAGATCGAGGTCATCGTCTCGGAGGGCCTAACGGGATGAGCTCTTTGTAGGGCCTTTTTTCCAAAAAAAAAACTTTTTGGGGTGTGGGGCTTAGGGCTTTTTTAAAGGGTTTAGAGTTTAGGGTTTAGGGGTTCGGAGTTTAGGGTTTAAGGCTTTTCTAGGGGTTTAGAATTTAGGGTTTAGGGGCTTGGGGTTTGAGGGGGGCGTGGGGCTATGGTTGCCTAGGCTCGTGTGAGGATGTGGGGTCGAAGGTGCGGTGTCGAAGGCTTTGTGCTAGAGGGGCCTTAACAGCTGAAGTAAAGCATGTAGAGACAAGTTCTCCTAAACCCCCCAAAAACCCCGAAACCGCCCTACACCCGAAACCCCAAACCATCTAAACCCTAAACCGCCCTAAACCCTAAACCCCAAACCCTCTAAAACCCCAAAGGGGGCCTTAGGACTGCGCGTTCATACCTGCATCTCGAGGCTTCACGGCTTCACTGGCTCAGGAGCATACTTGTAGGATCCATGGGTTCTTGGTGCTTGTTTTCCGCCCTGGAGTTGCTTTGGCTTTGGGCTTCGAGCCAGAAATCCCGAGCCGTAAACTGCAAACCCGAAACCCTGACCCGAACCTCTACAACCGAAAGGAGGCCGTGCACCCTAAACGCCGCAGCGAAAAACGCTTCCTCTTTGAGAAGAGCTCGGAGGGCGTGAGAGAAAATGTTCAACTGGGGGGGGGGGGGCTGGAGAGCGGACATTTAACACAACAATCATGACGGGCCTATATGTATGTCATGTATGTATGCATATACCCGCCACAACCCTAAGCGAAATCCTACTTCATAGAACCTAAGCCACCACCGGGTCGACTGAAGCTCAAGGACTGAGACTGGTTCAGGACCTGGCGTGGTTCCGGAGGTGGGGTGGGCGGCTCAGGGGTGTAGGGCTCAGGGCTCCTTCAAGGCCGGCGATGATATTATAAGGCTCTCTAGAAGGGTACTATTTGGAGCTAGGGCTCGGGCTTAGAGATTACTTGAACCCCAAGCCCTAAACCCTAAACCCTAAACCCTAAACCCTAAACCCTAAACCCAAACCCTAAACCCTTAAGGTCTAGGGTTCAGGGCTCCAGGGCCTGCAACAGCCGGAGCCAGCTTGGGTCGCAGGGGCTGCTAGCCAGAAGGCAAAGCAGCAGCTCTGCCACCTTAGGCTTAGGATTTAGGGCTAGGGTTTGGGGTTTCGGCTTCAGGGTTTAGGCCTGTAGGCTTTAGGGCTGAGGGGTATTGCCGCCGACAAGAGACTAGGATCTACATTTCCAGTTGAGACCCTCAGTGCAGACAGAGGCCACGTGCGGACCTTCTGGCATTCTTCTTCTTGCGTTGCTTGCTGTCTTGAGTTGCGAGCTTGGCAGATGGCAGTTTCAGACCTTCTTTGCCCTCACTGTCTCAGAAGTGCCCCTCGTAAGCACGAGTTGGGTGTAGGGCCTGAAGTAAGGAGCAAATAACGACTGGCAGCCAAGCATATCGGGTTTTATGCAGTGCTTTACAGCTTTACACGGCTGCATCCCTGTTCGATCGTGTTCGTCAAATGTTAAACCTGTTGCGCGCATGATATAAGGTCTTCACAGCTGAAGAACAACGAAACTTCTAAACCCTAAACCCATCTCGAAATCCCTGGAACCAAAGACCTTAGAGCCCCAGATAAACCTTCCACGCCAAACCCCTCGTGCTTTTTCGCGCCCTCCTCCGCCGAAAGCCACTTGAAAGCTGGCCCCTTCGGGGCCGAAGCACTTCCCGGACTGGCGCTTCTGAGAAATTTAAAAGCTCCAAAATCACTCAGTCCCTAAACGTCGGTCTTCCTTGTAGGGCCCAAGGGTTTCTATGAATGCAAAGGTATGGCATGTAAGGATTCAGGACTTGAGGTTCAGGGTTTAAGGTCTAGTTCAGGGCTTGGGGGTCAAGGCTTAAGGTGTAGGATTTGGAGTTTAGGGTTTGGCGTCTGGGGTAAAGGTCTAGAATACAGGGCTTCGGTTTACCTAGAATGTTTAGAAACCTAGCTACTGCTCCCTGTGCGTATCTTCCCGACAGGCCTGAATGCCGCACTGACTTCCCATGGTCATGATGGTGATGGTGGTGACTGTGATGATGATGATGATGATGATGATGACGATGATGATGATGACGGCGATGATGGTGATGGTGATGGTGACGGTGACGGTGACGGTGAGGGTGAGGGTGATGGTGATGGTGTGGTGGTGGTGATGGCGATGATGGTGATGGTGATGACGATGACATTGGCGATGAAGATGACGATGCCCATCATCTCGATGACGATGATAATGACGAGTATCATGATGACAACGGTTTGGGTGAAGAAAATGCCGATGATGGTGATGATACTGTGAGATGGTGATGATACGGTGATGACGGTGATGACGGTGATACTGATGAGGCTGATGATACTGAATAAGATAGTGCTGTTGACCAAACTGATACTGACGTGTTTCCCTATACCATTGTACCATGATATACCGCAAGCCTTTCCAACTACTAAAGCACCTCCATGACTGCCGTTTGTTGACTTATGGGTGAACTTGCTAGGCATGTCGTGCTTATTCGATTTTCAATCTCATGCTTACTTAGGTATATTGATGTGTTTGCTTCATTCGGTCTCCGTATCTGCTACTGCACGCACCTGCCAAGGTCAATACCGATTACAAGAGTACCACACTTACCAGTGGTACTGTTCTGAAAAAGACACGCCGGCGCAACGGTAGACATTTCCGGTCGTACTCATCCCTCATTGCGGTCGATATTCGTACTCCGAGCTCCCGTTGCTGCTGGTTTCTTCTTACTACCGCGGCCATACATCTACCTATGCCTGGAGAGGTACGGCCAAAGCTCCAGGATTGCTAGATTTCCCATGCAGACCCTGAGGCCCTAAGTCAGACTAGCCAGATTTTTTCATGTGATTCTCCAGAGGATGGCTGTGACCGCCAGCCATGAAACCAGTGAGATCATGCTCAGCACAAGGTCATGCTTGTTCTGTTGGAAGACATAGAGCTGGATGATGTAGAAGGTGATGTAATACAAGAAAGCGGTGATCACCACGGCCACCGAGAGAAGAATGTCCCAGTGCAGTCTGCAACATCGGGCTCGGAAGCGGTAGCACAAGCGGAAGAGAAGCTTGTTCATGAAGGGATACACTGCCATCCAGTATGTGAACGTCTGAGTGAGATCCACTAACTGCCGGATGTGATCGCCTCCATAGCTTGCCGTGTACTCAAAGCGGATCCAGACGTATGGTGTAAAAAATAATAACAAGCGCTGATAAGACATAGATTTGTTTGCAAGCTGGTCGATAAGGGCCGTCCGCACTTCAGATTGCACCTGCGACTCGAACTTGTCAAGCGAGCCATACCAGTGCGTGATGCACTGGAAAAGAATCGCACGATCGCACACAACTGTAGTTTCAGTTTCAGGGCCATGGCCTTGCTCACAGCAAGAGCTGCTTGTGCCTGCAGCTTTGAACTCGCAGAGTTGCTCATTCAGCGTCTCCACGCTGCGGGCATATCCTCGAAGGGCATGCGCAACAAAGCCTGAACATAGAATGCCCAGACCCCCGTGGTAGACGACGTGGACGACTGCTGAAAACCTCAAATCGTCTGAGGATGCCAAGGAGGTTTCCATGTAGGCATACGCAACGCACGCCAGGCCGAACAATATCTCACCGCCCAGGAGTGCTGGACCGAGCAAAGGAGGAATAATTTGTAGCACCGCCTTGCAACCGGAATTCCGGCTGTGTAGAAAGGCAGCTATTTCGAAAACGCACCACCTTACATCTCGTACAGTCCGGCAAAGAGATATGTTGTTCTCGACATGACGTGACTAGATCGACAAACCCCCAAGGCCTATACTGTGCCGCCATGTCACAGTCTTGTTACCCATGTAGGATCCCACAGGACTAGCATGGAATCGGACTGCTTCAGGAAGGCACCCATGGAAATGATGGCTTCACCCTTCAGACCTTGGTCCCTCTGGTTGATGCAGGCCATGTCCAGAAAAACCACCTTGCCCGATCGCCAAAGGAGGGGGGTGACGCAAAAGCCTGCAAATCCGAGCAGTAGGCACCAGCCTTTTCTTGCTTCCAGCAGACCTTCTGAGACAAGGACGCAAGCTACACTTGCAGAAATGATCCCCACAATGTTTGCAGGAAGGCACGTCTGAAGGTAGAAGATGTTGACATACTTCGCCCAGAGTGCGCCCTTCCAGCTGTGGGACCAAAACTGGTCGAACTTGGCTGTTTCGTGGCTGAGAGGATACAAAGAAGTCAGATCACGTCGCAGCCAAACCCACGGCAGGTGACGCAGCACTTCAGAAGCTCGCACGCCGCGCAATATTTCTGGCCGCGTCGCTCGCATGTTGGTCGTGAACATAATGTAAAGATTGGCAAGCTCCTCTCCATCTGCATCTTCCTCTGAAACTTTCGGATATTCAGTCGGCACCGGATCCTCAACACCGAGCAGAACCGCAGGAGGAAATCGGGGATTCCCGCATTCTGTCTCCAGGCTTTTGGGCAACATGGCACTGGCAGGACGTCCCCGAAAACTTCTGAAAAGATGCTTCAAGGTATCAATCGCCTTGGTAAACAACCTCCTTTGGTTGAATCGGTGTAGCTTAAGGCGTGTCAGAGCCTGTGAGTGCGCGAGACAAGCGCTGCCGATGTGTAGTGCACGCGGTGAGGCCAGCACAACTGATCGGAACTGCTTCCAGAAGCCTCCCCCCTCGATAAATCCAAAACCCTAGAACCCTAAACCCTAAACCCTAGAATCCAAAACCCCGAACCCTAAACAGCTCGCAAACCCAAACCCGAAACACCTGAGGCGCCGGTCCAAATCCTGAATCGAACCTAGCATAGGCGCCTGAACAGGGCTCTTCCCGAAACCCTAAACCCCGAGCTCAAACCGGTTTAGGGTTTAGGGTTTAGGATTCAGGCTCAAATCGGTTTAGGGCTTATAGGGTTTAGGGTGTAGCAGGTTGGGGATTTAGGATTTCAGGTCCGAGCTCAAACCCTAAAGCGGTTACATGCGCAAAGGCCCTAAACCCTTCTGGAACCCTTGCAGAAGCCTTTGAAAGAACCTTGATGAGAGATCCCGTCTAAAACCACTACAGAACTCTTAGGATCCCGTATAGAGCGCTTTATCTACAAAAGCTACCCCATTCCTTGCAAAGCCCTAGCCACTCAAAACCCGGATCTGAGAGACCAGAACCCTTAAAGGGAACCTTATTCATCAAGAATCATAGTAGCCTTGAAGGGAACCCTATCATGAACCCCATAGTTACCTTTAAAAGAAAAACCTTCAGGTCCCCCCATTAACTCATCATAAACCCTAAACCCTAAACCCTTAACTCATCATAACTCCTTTCTTTCCCAGCCGCTGCAGACGCCAGCCGCGGCGCGCCCGCGTGGCGGACGAAGGCACGGCGGAGGCGGGAACGTAAAGTGGCGCCAGAGTCCTTCGAAGAGACACTTTTAGGGGTTTGGGGGTTTAGGGTTTAGGGTTTAGAGTTTTGGGTTTAGGGCTTAGAGCTTTAGGGGTTTAGGGCTCACAGGGTGCCAGCGTCCATCCAAGGGTTGTGGTACGGTTCCATGAAGCTTCCTTGGGGCCCTTTAGAAATTGATGAGTTTGATGGGCAATGGTTCAGGGATATGTGGCTTGCTTCAGGTTTCCAGAAGGACTCTGTAGGCTTTTTTCAAGGCTCCACACGGGTTCTTCAACCCTTATGGTCTCGGCTTGCAGAGCTTGGGATTTGGGAGTTTGGGGTGTAAGGCTAAGGGGTTTAAGGTCGGGTCTGGGCCTCTTCAGACCCCTCAAGTCTGAAAAGCCCCAAACCCCATTCCCCTAAACCCCAAACCCTAAATTTGAAGACCGCGCGACCCAGTTTTGATCCGAAACCACAGGGTCAAGGGTTCAACTAGGACAGCTTGAGCGACGATACCCACGCTACCCAAGCAAGGTCAAGCAAGCACTACCTGCCCAAAAGGAAGTAGGACCTCATAGTATCTACATACCCGACATATGCACCAAGCCTCGACACTGAAGTCCCACCATGAAGCCAACAGAGCAACAAGCCTGAACCCCGGACCCAGACACCAAACCCTAGACCCTAAACCCGGAACCCTAAAGCCCTCAAGCCTAAGCCCTAAACCCCCACTCAAGCCTTAACCCCTTTAGAGACACGGGAACGCCAGGTAGCTCGACTTTTGTCCGGCTCGAGCTCTGTTGCCGTGCCGGAAGCTTGGCACTACCAACCCGGTAGCTTGTTCCGGATTCTTAGGGCTCAGGCTCTGGGGCTTTAGTTGGCCTTAGTGGCTGAGGTAGGCTTGAGTGTCGAAGGAGCTTACGCCTCAAGGTTTCGGAGCTTGGGGCTTCTTGGTGAGGGTAGAACAATGAGGCCCCTGCTGGCAGCAGGTGCTTTCAAAAAGGCGGGGCCCACGGCCCCCTCGTCTTCTCTCACTTGCCGTTCTGTCGCTGGATGTAGCACGCGATGTGCATGAAGAAGGAGATGGGCAGCCTTTCTGAGGCTTTTCAAGGGCTCTGTAAACACGTTAGATGGCTTCAAAAGGGCCCTTGCCCGGTTCTTTCAAGGTTCCACACAGGCTCTGTAAGGACTGCAGGGTATAGGGATTAGGGCCTCAGGATTTTCGGGCTGCGGCGGCCGATCTTTAGCTTGGGACAGCGTGGTTTGGGTTTCAACACAGCCTAAACCCTAAACCCTAAACATGTCACTAAACGCTAAACCCTAAACCCTAAACGGAGACCAGGGGAGCGACAGGCAGTCGAAGCCAGATCCGACACGCAACCGGCTCAGGGCCTACCAAGTAGGGGCCTCATCAAACATTTCGAGGGTTTAGGGTTTAGGGCTTCAGGGCTTCAGCGAATTTTTTTGCGTGCCCCACACCTTGAAGCACGACTCAAGCCTGAGCAGATCTGAAAGCCCGGCCCAAGCCTAAAGAAAAAAGCACGAATCACTACAAAAATCGGCCAACCGCAAAGCCCAATCAAAACAAAATGCAAACCCTAAGAACGAACCTTAAACCTAACACCCTAACACCGCTAAACCCTGAACCCAAGAAACCCATCTTGAAAAAGGCCGAACTCCACACTCCCGCTCTGAAGCCTGACCACCTAGTAGGTCGGCAACACCGGTCAGAATTTACACTTCATCTTGATTCCCTTAAGGGTTCTGTGAGTTCTTGGGTTGCCTTTTCCAGGGCTTTGGTAGTACAGAGGTGTGAAGACATCATACCATAATCTACCCCTAAAAGGCCTCTTCTAGTTGTTGAGACCCCCTACATTAGAGCGTTGCGCTTTTGAGGCTTCAGGGCTGGCTTCATAAACCCTAAACCCTAAACCCTGAACCCTAAACCCCTAAACCCTAAACCCCTAGAACCCTAACCCTAAACCCTGAACCCTAAACCCCTAAACCCTAAACCCCTAGGACCCTAACCCTAAACCCTGAAAATCTAGGTCTTTGGGGTTGACCTAGAGAGAACACAGAGGCCCAGCCCGAAAAATCACAACCACTCCAACATCCCACATGGGTTTAGGGGTTTAAAGGGTTTAGGGGTTTAGGGCTTAAGGGGTTTAGGGGTGTAGGGGTTAAGGGGTTAGGGGTTTAGGTGTAGGGTTTAGGGGTTAAGGGGTTTAGGGGTTTAGTGTTCCGGGGTTAGGGTTTAGGATTTAGGGTTTAGGGTTTAGGGTTGACTCAGGACCCTAACACCAAGGAACAGGAAGGACTCCACGATGTAGGACCTCGGCTGGTGATGGGCTTTGGTTTAAATGGGGCTTCAAGCACTTGATGCACCCTAAACTCTGGGAATGGTTGTGCTTGGTCGGCGGTACCACATGTGCTCCATCCTCTGTATCACTATAAGAATATCGGAACTGCTAACTGAGGTTCGCCGCAATCGTCACGCTAGCAGAACACAGGATCGAAAGCAGCCGCTGCAATAGTGGCAAGGATCTGTAAGTACTTATGAACCCACAAGCATCCGGGCCCTAAACCCTAAACCCTAAACCGTAGGATCTTTGATATAAGGACCTCCCCCCCCCATGAATCGGCACCGGACCCCTGATTTTTGGAAACCTGACAGCCGGCAGCATCTTAGCAGCCACCCTAAACCCTCAACAAAAAAGAACCCTAAGCCCTTACCCCCTTAACCCTAACTCCTAGACCCCAAATCTTAAGCACGAAACTCAAAACCTAAGCCCTTACCCCCTTAACCCTAACTCCTAGACCCCAAATCTTAAGCACGAAACTCAAAACCTAAGCCCT